CCAACAACAGGGGAGCCTGGCCCAAGACAGCCTTCTCCTTGCTCCCAGCTTTGCATTTCTCTTCCCCACCCTGCACTGCAACAAAATAGGAGACCAGCCATCTCTCCTAATCCCCCCCTCTGAAACACTGACAAGCCCTCTCCCCTCAGCCACGTAGCAGAAGACGAGTTTGCTAATCAGCCCCATGTGCTGTATTTAACATCTCTCAAGATTATTGCTCCTTGCCTGGAGGATTAGTTTTGTGGAGCCCTCTTGCTGCAGTGAAACTTCATTGTGGTGGGATAATAAATTGTCTTGCAGGAGAAATCGGAGTGCGCAGGCACACGCGGATGCGACTGGGGCCTCCCACTCCGCTTCAGTTCACGACGGTAGGTATCCTCGATATAAATAACATTCAGGGCCAGCAATGCTAGCTGACCTTGATTGAAGCAGGCACAAGTGTGAGTGGGCTGTTAAACAGTCCTAGACCTGGAGACAGAAAATGCCCTTTCAGGTCCTCTTAATTAGTCTCCAAGGCCTCGGTGCTGTTGTACATGTTGTATATTTACTAGCAATTACCCAGTTAGGTTTTGATACTATTTCTCGGATTTAAAGTGAAAATACCAAGGCTCACATCCTCACCGGTATGCAAACACCTGACTCCACTGAAATCAATGCAAGTCAGGCATGCATCTAAATAACGACCAAAGACAAGCAGATGGAAAACTGATCAACAGTTAATTATACTTATCCACTCCCCACCTTTAATTATAATATCATCCCTCTCTGGGGTCATCTTTTGTTAGTCACGTAACAAGTAAGCTCTGCTCTACCTGACCCTTTTTTGTGTCCTAGTTCCTTTTCTATTACATCAACTTGTATTAATTTCAAATTATAACTTCCTTTTTTAAAAGGCATAGTATGTTCTGAGAGCAAGAGCCCGCTTGCTTAATGGGCTTCTCTGGCCCCGGTAACGGACCATGACATCAATTATGTGCGGTTGTCTTTGACCTGAGATGCATAACTCCCCTGGTGACTAATTACAGCACCTAATGGTCAGGTCCACAGTGACATGGAACAGTGCTTAATAAATGAAGTGCAGCACGCTACTTTGGGGACTGAATCTTTTACTATACCTGGACGTCTCAGCTTTACCCTACCACGGGGATTGGAAAGTAGAGACAAATCATTCCCATTTCCAGGACTGTGAAAAATAAATCTATTTAGGCCCGCAGTAGAAGAAAACCCAGTATTTTGGTTTTTCCCAAACTGCACCATGATGAGCCTTCCTACTGTTCAACCCTGAAGCTGTAGGCATTGTTTTGCTTCTTTTCTCTTAAAACCACACACAGCTTAATGAGTTTGCCTGTGCAAGGTTTATTAATGGACCGATTCCTGAGGATATATAATACAGTTGGGGCATGAAAGTGTTGACTGCTGAAGAGCTAATGGGCCCAGTGCTGTAAAGAAGCCACCAAAGTTGTAACCTCTGAGCCTTTCATGGCTTCTGGAGGCCAGAGAGGTGAAATCCTGGCTACGATGAACTCAGCAATAAAACTCCTGTTGGTTTCAGGTGTGGAAACATTTCGCCCCACAACTTTGGAGCTTCCCTGTACGCTGATGGATCTTCCCAGAATGGAGGAGGTTAAAAACCCCTCAGTGCTTTATGATTAAGCAGACATATGATAGATTTTATTTTTTTTTTTTAGCAGTAGACTGCTCCCCCAAATACAACCCCCAGATATCGAGGCTCTCAGCTGTTTGCCTTAATCTATTACAAATACATAGAGCAGAACCTTTGCTCTTCCCCAGCCTTCCTAAGGGTCAGGCTTGGAAACAGAATCAAATCCACACGATTAAATATGTCCCCGAAACCTTGACTGAGGGACAGCCTCGTTTCTCAGAATGGGATCAGTGTTTTCCCTTCAGATACAACAGAGCATTTCCAAGCCTCCACATGCCCAGGGAAATTCAAGTCAAATGCAGCTCTCAGAAGCATCTGTACTTTCCCTACAGTCGAGACCAGACATGACGCAGCTTTCCCGGTCGCCTGCTTCAAGAGTCCCCCAGTCGGTTCATTCCAACAACCGCAGCCCACAACGAGTAAGCTGCTACCCACAAAGCTGCTACCTAAGGTTGCGTCTCGTGCCGGGCAGGAGGAAATGGGGACGTTTACATTTTGGAAATGACTTGAGACCAATTCCTCTACCAAAGGGCCCTTTATTAATTCTATTAGTAAATACTTTCCTAATGAATTGACATGGCTGATGGGCCTTCCTTATCAATGAAAACTTTTAAAATTGAGTTTACGCATGTCACACCTATTTTACAAAGGAGCGAACTCCAGAACACAGCAGTCAAGTGGTTTGCCCAAGGTCACCTCATAAGGCAGTGGCAGAAAAGTCCCAAGCCTTGCATTCCAGTGCTAACCACTAGACTCGATGTCTTTTTCCTAGTGTGATATCTGCAGCCACAACCGGGTACCTAATTCAAAAACTAGGCGCATTCACATGTTTATCACATGCTTATTCAGACTCAGATTCAAGGTCACAGGGACCCATTCAACCATGGGACTTCAGTCTAGCTCCTAACCCAGTATTTGGGACCATGGGGCAAGGGGGAAGGTTCTGCTGCATGTCTCTATTTTTAACAGCTTAAAAGCAACATCTGCACCTTTGGGGCCATCTCTTCCATGGTTCTGCGTACTATGCAATGCAAAATTCAGCCTTTGCAGGAGTTTCAGCTATTGTTATGCTGTAATAAAGCTGTTATGCCAGAAAAATGTTAAAAAATAGGGAACTTACTAAATCCGTAGCAGCTTCGGCCCGTGTCTGGAGAAAACTCCTGAGCAAGCAACAATCCAGCTGCCATAAAATATGAAAAGAATCTGGATGGTACAAGCTGTTAAATGGTTGGTATGACATGGAAACAATTGCCCTCAGGAAAGGGAAAATTAGCTATCGAGATGAGAGGTGAGATTGTTTGCTGGCATCTGACTCTTGGCACAATATCAATCCAACCTTATGATGGCATAAAGTACGTACCAGGGCCTAATTTATAAATAATGCAGTCAGGCCCATAGGAAGCAGATGAAATGCCTGACTCCCATTCAATTAATCTGCAACTTAAAAGCTCCTACACTGTAATGCTGGCTCCAGAGCCTTACCTCATGTGAATTGGCATATCTCCATTCAATCGGCTGCGGCTGTGCTGGTTTATATCAGCTGAGGATCTGTTTCTGAAGGTGATGCTCTTTAGGGAGCACGAGGGTATCTTGGAAGGAAAAACATTTAGCGGTTAGAGCACAGGGCTGAGGACAATTCCTGGGTCTGCTTTATGTTTTTGTCACTGGCTCACCATATAATATAATGTTGGGGAGCCACTGATTTTCAGGGCCAGACCTAGGATCTGGGTGACTTTGGCTGGAGACACGAATATTGAAGAGCTGATGTGGATGCAAGCGAGGGCCACATTTGGCTGCCGCCTCAAATGAGGGGTGGAAAATGAGGCCACGTCCCCCATTCTTCAGTCTCTGAAAGCAGTATCCCTTGGCATCATCCCTGCTTTGTGCTCATCTTCGCTAACCGACTAACAATCCTTCTGCCAGTCAGCACAGACTGACGGGCTGCCTGTCAGAAACTGGTTCAAACAGTAAAAGAACAAATAATTTGTTTCGGAGTCCTAAAACTGCTTGGCACAAGAAGCATTAAATGGTTAGTGAATACTATCTGAGGCAGATCAATCTCTCTGAGCCACTTAGCTTGACCACACCTGTCTCTCCATATTCTTGCCTGTTGGATTTATCCTGGGGGGGGGGGGGGG